CTTGTCAAAGTCTTGTCTGACACAGGTAAACTGGACATGACTATATAAACACTCTAGGCTTTCAGTGCCGCCTCTAAATTGTCACACCCTGCCAGAAAGTCTCCCTAGCACGTCAGTGAGTGGCTAAAGCTTTCTGGGCCCAGCATGGTGCTTCGCCACAAGATAAGCTTTTGCAAGCAGGACTTTGTCTTCAAGGTTCACATTTTCCTTAAACCTTAAGATCCGAAGGCTTCACGTCCAATTCCATTGCCATTTCTTTCCCCTTGTCATTTAGGGTTGGACGATCTCCCTGTTTGGGACAGTGGTCCCATTACTTTCCAGTTGTGTTTCTGTCCCTTTCACTTCTCAGCTGTAAGTGTGTTTATATTGACCCATATATTGGCTTTCTCTTTCAGAACACTTTTGAATAAAATCGTAAATAGGGATCTCAGCTGCTTTTTCATTTCATATTCCACGGTATTCGTGAGAGGGACAGTGAATTCTACACTGCCAAACGTTCTCCCTGCTCTTGCATAGAACTGCCCTCTGAGGAGCTGTCACTGGCTTTCCACATTCTGCTAACGCTGACCGACAAAGCATGGGAAATTCAGAAATCCGCTCTGTAAAATAGTCCAACAGTGTGTATTTTGCTCTCTTCTAATTTCTATCATGCTAAGTAGCCCATTTAAAATACATGTGTTTTCCTCTAGACTAAAACTCCTTTAAAACAACAGTGAGCACAGTTTTCACTCAGCACTGTGCCTCTTCCAATAAATATTTGTTGAACTGAATTTAAAACCAGCTTCATATACTCATTAGATTTAATTTGGTCTTTTAACACAGCTTCATTAACTGATGGATCTTTTTAAAGTTTCAATTTTATGGTACTCTTTGTATTTTTCAAGCTTGAAACTTTTAAAAATAGGAGGTGGAAGAAGTCCATCCATAGCCAAAGTGGTTGAAGTGTTTTAATTCCAAGGTAAAAATGTACATTGCTTCATCTGCATCTTGAGTATAGATTTATGTTTGGCTCCTCATGATAAATCTGCCTTCTAAAAGATCACCTAGGATAATGAAGGAAAAGCTTCCATCCACCCTTACTAAAGAGAAAACCTCTGGGCTTAATGAAACACAAGATGTCTCCCTTGCACGAGATATGATGCAGCTGGATAGAACTCTCTGATGGGTCTTTATCGCCAAATGCCCTCGTCTCCTCCTCATTCCCTGCAGCACTGGGTAGCTGCCAACTTGCTCAGACTGTCGGCATCTGGTAAAGCTCTGGTTTGATTGCCTTGGTCAGGTGGGGTAGAAGCAGACCCAGGCATTGCTCTTCCGGGCACGGTTCCTCTATTACTGCCGATCCACTCTGTAAGTGCAATCACCTTGAAAATCGCCCTCTGATTTTCCATCACTCACATTACCTTGCTCAGTCAGTTTCTTAGCTACTTGGAATAAACGTGGAATATTTATTAAATTAAATTGCGCCAAGGGGCCCCAGGATCCTTGGACTTTAACTACATTTATAGTTGATCATCCAGCTAAGTTTTTCCTGAGAGGGGGAAAAAAATAGTCAAAGGCTATCTTCTAGGATTTCCAGATTGCAAAAATGCAGATCTTGTCAGCAGTCCGTGATAGTCATTAAACAGGGCTCTGTCTGGCCTTGAACGAGATGAAGAACCCGGAAAAAAGTGTTAGCCCTTGGTTACCAACAAGTCAAGTGTGACTTCAGTGCCTTTTTTTTTTTTTTTTGCTCAAGCCTAAGCATAAGCCGAGCGATTTTAGAATTAATCAGATTTCCAACCGCATAGAATTCTGAAGGCTGCCTTTGTATAGACCATAACAACGCTTTGTTGATAAGGGATTCTTGACCTGACCCTTTGCTATGGGAGTTTCTTTACAGGTAACTGGACTGCCCTAGGTAGACAAGATTTATCTGAACCAGTTTGTTTATTCAGAATAAGAGAAAGGTTTAATTTCTTCATATCATTGATCTGTGGACAACTTTCAAATATTTAAAACGGCCTGTGAACCTGTCTAATACAACTTAAAAGCTCAACTTAAACACTTAAAAAACATGTGAGAACTTATTAGTGACGAAGCCTGAGTAAGGGTTTTAAAATAAGTAAATGAGGCATAAAGTTATAAAACTGTACAAGTATTTTACAAGCAGACATATCATTACTACACATACTTCTCATAGAAACTCGAAAAGGAACAGGACAAGCTTTATGCTGTGGAAACACAATAGGAGCCCTTGCTTGAGAAATAATATAGGAGAAGCAGAAAGCTATCACTTAGTAGTACGTTATATTCTATGTTATTCTTTTATTGTAAGGTGTGTCCTTATTTCTGTGTCATTGTGATCTCGTATGTAGCATATGGCATATAATACCCTTTTTAAGGCAAAAAGTGAAATATATTATCTCATGCAACCAAATGCCAAAGCCGGGGTTTGAATCCTATCAGTCCGTCTCCCCTTTTATTCTCCCCTTTTCTCTTTGTTTCTTTCTCTGCATGCCAGTCCCATTCCCGGGCTAGCTCTAACCATGGCTGCTGCAGCTCTCAGGCTCACATCTTGGCTTTAACATGAGAAAAGAACTGAATTAAATACTCATTTTTGTTTCTGCAGTAAAAATGCAACATCATGTTCAGTTGCCCCCTCTAAAAGGAATTGCATCTCAAAAGGCTTTAGTCCATAGACAAAATGTCAACGTGAAAGTCTTGAATATTTTAATTTGTATATGAAAGAGATCTTCTCAGTTAATATATTCAAATAAAATACGAATTTCAGAAATAATACAGTAATGAGGCAAATGAAAACCTCATATACCTTAGGTGGGAATGTAAAGTGCTGTAACCACTTTCAATAACAGGTTTGCAGTTTCCTATAAAGTTAAACATACATTTACCATACAATCCAACTTTCCACTCTTATAAGTTCCAAGAGAGTATCCAAGAGAAATAAAACTATGAACTCATAGAACTATATATACACCAATGTAAAATAGAAATTTTACGTGCAATAGCTCAAAACCAGCAAAAACCCAAATGTCCATCAACAGGTGAATGGATAAAAAAAATTGTGGTATATCCATACAATGGAATACTACTAAGCAATAAAAAGGAATGAACTGTTGATACATAATACAACATGGATGATTCTCAAAATAATTATACTAAGTAAAGGAAGTTAAACAGAAGAGTTAAACATATTGCATAATTCTACTTATTTAAAGGTCTAGAAAGCAAACTAATCTATACTGATAGGAAGCAGTTGCCTGAAGGAACTGGGGTGCAGTGAGGAAAAGTAGGAGGGAGAGATTATAAAGACCTGTACCCTGGAAACTACAACACATTGTGAAGCGAAAGTTAAAAAGACCTAATAAATGGAGAGAGATACCATGTTTGTGGATTAGAAGACAATATTAAGGTGTCAGTTCTTCCCAAATCGATCTCTAGATTCAGTGCAAACCCAGTCAAAATAGCTTTATTTTTGTAGAAACTGACAAGCTAATTCTGAAATTTATATGGAAATTCAAAGGATCTAAAATAGTCCCCTGATAGAATCTGAAATAGAAAAATCAAGTTGGAAAACTTACATTACCTGTTTTTAAGCCTGTAAAGCTACATTAATCAATACGGATAGGGAGATGGATAAGTGGGATAGAATTGAGAGTCCAGCAATAGACAAACTCATATTGGATCAATGTTCTATGATCAAGGTGCCAATGGGGAAATGCTTTTCAATGAGGAAAGGATATTTTGATCAACAAATCGTGTTGGAACAATTAGATATTCACAATTAAAAAGATTAAACTAGATCCTTACTTTCGTAATATATAAAAATTAACTGAAAATGGATTGTAAACCTAAATGTGCTACAACTATAACCTTTCTGAAAGAACATATGGAAAATCTGTGTGACCTTCAGCTAAACAAAGATATCCTACACTGAACAAAAAAATCTGCAAATAATAAAAAAGCAACCGATACATTGGAATCCATCAAAATTAAAAAGGTTTGCTCATTAAAAAACAGTATTAAGAAAACAAAAAGAGAAGGCACAGACTAGGGGAAAGTATTGCCATAAGATGTATCTGACCAAGGACCTATATACAGCATATAAAACTATTCAGATCTCAATAATAAAAAGACAAGCAACATAACAAATAAGCGAAATGTTTTAACAGACATGTCACAAAAGATATATGTGATAAATAAGGACAGAAAACGATGCTCAAAGTCATTAGTCATTAGGGTAATACAAATAAAACCGCAGGAAGATATTAATACACACCCATTAGAATGACAGAAATTTAAAAACTGACCGTATCAAATGTTGGCAAGGAAATGGAGCAACTAGAGCTAATATGCGTTGCTGGTGAGAATGCAAAATAATACGAAAAATGTAGGTAAACATATATATATACTTACCAGATATCCCACCAATTCTATTTTTCGCTTTTATTCAAGAGAAATAAAAACATAATCCACCCGAAACTTGTACTCAAATGTTTACAGAAGATTTATTTATAATAGCCCCAAACTGGAAACAACCCAAATTTCCATCAACTAGAAATATTTTTAATCAGACCTAATTTTGAAAAGTAAACAAACATTCAGACCTGACTGGAAAGTCTGCAATCACATGTTTTTCTCTGAGTTTATAATCATAGCCAAATGTCTTAATCGTCAATTTAAAAGTTTTGATTTTTTACTAAAATTTAGAAGACACTCCTCTAGGACCCATTAGTACCACTCTTATAAAGGGGAGGACAAGGAGGCGCCGTCATGGTTTTGCTCTTTGCAGTAACAGCCATACACACAGCATAATGCTGAAAGCGGTTTTAGGAACGGCCTCCAAGCAAATGCAACCTCCGTTCAGTTTTTGTAACCAGGCTTTCCCGTGTTTCTCTCTACATATCTTGATAGGAGGGAAACTTTTCAAGTGGATACCCATTCCCTGGACTCTACAGAGAAACCCCAGACTATTTATAAGACAAGGTTTGAATCGCCAGTACCTCGAGTCCTTGTGTGTGCACTGCAGTTCAGCAGCATCTTCTGAATCCTCTTGAGAAGCCATCTAGAAGAAAACATGAGAACCAGTTAGGAAGCAAGCTTTTCCTTTGACGTGTGTTAGCATGAAAGCCTAGTATCTGATATGGGTGGGTTTCCACCTTCTAAACACACACACATGCACACGCACGCACACGCACCTACACACACACACACACACTGCCTTTAATACAACGTTATCACTTGAGCAAAATACTTTCATCTTTAGCTGATCCAGTGATGGGAAACTTTCATCTTTAGTTCATCTAATTTGGCCTAAACTGATTAAAACCCTCGTCTGAAACTATCAGGGTGCCAGAGCTCCCATACAGAGGGTAATTCGAGGAGTTCCTGCTCCTCAAAAAGCCGTCCAGCTTCCAGAAGGATACCAGTAAGAAGCAGGGAGTGGTGAGGCTGAATTGGGAATGCTAAAGGGGAAGCTGTAAATGTGCCTTCAAATTTTATTTTGGATTCTAACTTTCATATGCGCCCACTCAAGATTGGGCTGCCTGATGTCACAGTGAATTCTTGAGATATCCAGAGCTGCTTTTTTCAGAAAAAGGTATGTTTGGGCTACAAAAGAATGAAAACTAGTAACACATGAAGAAGTAATGAAACCTTCTAATTTAATAGTTTGTATTAACTAAATCAATAGAAGCGTAAATCATTCAAAAACTTTGATAATCCAAACTTTCACATTTTATCAGTAAAATTCATACCATTTTCTTTGTAGTCTTTTAGAGGAAAACATTGCAAATGTTTTCTCTTTAAGTTCAAAACAGAAAGGAGAAAGAAAAACATTCATTTCTGGGAAAACATACACATTTGGAAATTTGCTTTTGAACAACTGAGATCTGGATCCACGTTCGTGAAAGTGAAGCGAAAATATCAATGAACCCACTTTGCATTATTAGGCCTAAAATTGTCTCTGAACAGCAGCGATGTGCAGCGCTGGCCTTCTTCCTCGCGGTGCCCTGCACTTGGTCTCAGAAGACCAATGCACTCTACTTTGGAAAAGTTTTTTGCATCCCACACAACCCTTGTTCAAATCTCCTTTTACGAAGAAAAAGCACCACCAACTGAAGAGATCCTTGTCAAAACATGCAGATTACCCTCCTCTAATCTGCATTGTCTAGGAAAAACAAAGATGCTACAGGCAGCCTCAGAATTAACCTCTGCATTCTGGTGGTGAAGCCCATTCCACTGGCCATGATGATAGGTCCCAACCTATGGCGAGGAACTTTGTCCAGTCTATAAAAATCAGTCGTGGGTCATGTGTGTCTTATGCAAGATTCAAGCAGTGTGACCACATTTGATAAGCAAGTCTCAAAGGGAATTTTCCTGGTATCCAGAAAGCAACCATTTATTTGCCAAAAATAAGAACGAGGTGTAATGCCCAGACCAGGTTTCACTGGTACAGAGCCTCTCCCTGGATCTCTAAAGATGGATGTAAGAGTATGGGGAACTGAAACGACTCAAATTCTGTCTTTTATTGATTGTGGGGACTTTGCAAAGCTCTTCTGCCATGAGTATCCATTATGAGAACAGAGAGGAAAATATTTGAGGTTCAAAAGAGTTAAAACTTTTTTCAGTGTTTGCTTATTGTAGAACTGATTAAATGATGCTATTAACCCTACATCGAACCAAAGCAAACAAAACAAACAAACAAACAAAACTCTGTGAGCACTAAGAGTTTGAATCAATAATTTAGGGCTTTTACAAATGTAAATCAGTAGGAAAAGAAACAACAGCAGTAATTCACTCTTATTAAAATGATGGAAGAATTAGTTCTGGCCAAAGATAACACAGACCCTCAAATCAACTGTCTCAGGCAAATCTCTGTGTTCTTTCTGACTCCCTGAAGTCTCAGGAGGTGTTCCCAGGACCCCACTGAGTAGTCAACCAGTGCCAATTCCACACGCTCTGAGCTTTCCCGGTAAAGGGAGCAGTAATGTCTCAAATCATCTTGTGCGCACTGGGTCCAGATAATTTTGGACTTAGGAGAATAATCTTTATGGATCTAATGTATCTCTAAGGTGTAAGTTGCTCCCTGTTTTGTTTGTCTGTTTTGTTTTGTTTTAACTCTGTATGCACAACACACACACACGCACGATCCTAAAAGAGTTTCCATTATCTCCTTGTTATTTTCCCCTCAACACTCAGCTGACATGCCTAATGGCTTACGTCAGGAAGTGGGTATTCTGGAAGTTGGTGATACAGATGTCTGCATGTTTCTTCAAACTGTATAACTTCCCTAATACATAGTGAGAAGCTGTTTAGCAGACAATGTGGTGCTTCGAGATGGCCATGTGGGACTGGGTTATTTCCAAATATTCTAGTAAATGTAAAAGTGTGATGTTTCAGGGTAGCCCAAGTTAAAAAAAACATTGTGCTCTTGCCTGAAACCCCTTGAGAAGACAGCCTACCACGTGTCTTGCTATTGCACCGACCATCCATTCAAACTTCTGTGTTCACAGAATTCTCCCATCCAATGAGTCCTTTGCTAGGACTTGAGAGAAAGAGAGGGGGAGGAAAAAAAGAAACTCTCTTTCCTCTTGGGCATAAACCTGGGGCCAGCAGGTCTTGGAGCTATTTGCCATCTTGCCATCTCATGGAACATAGGAATGAAGCCACTACTTTAAAAAGACAGAATTGAAATACGTATAGCAATTACAGTCTACTGGCATGTTTCAAGTCCTTGCATACAGCTGTGTCTAAAACTGGTTCTATCCCTACCCTTTTTGGTTAGGAAAGCCAAAAAAATTAGCCTCCACTCCCCTCCCCGACACACTTTTTCTTAGTTAAAGCCAAATTTAGTTAGGTTTTCCACCATTACACAAGGAGCTGATACAGATGGAGAATAAGCGAATTGTCGAGGCCTATTCCAAAATTAAAGTTCCCAATGTTCCAGGGATAATTACATTATAAATTGGGTGTGGTTTTTCACAGGCAAAATTGAAATCTGAAAAAAAATAAAAATAAAACATCAATCAAGTTTGAGAATAACTTTCTTTAAACCTACAGTGCTCCAGCATTGGAACTATTTTGTAAGGTAAATACCTTTGATTTTATGTTTGTTGAGAGATATGCATGTTTTAATAGATAGATAGATAGATAGATAGATAGATAGATAGATAGATAGATAGATAGATAGATAGATAGATAGATAGGCAGGCAGAGAGGAGATGGGTGATGCTGATATTGCTGAGGTATCTGTAGCCCTGGGAGATACAGCATCATGCAATATAAACTCTCTCGGCCTTGCATCGAACATGGAGTATTGTCTTGAAGTTCCTGGAATTGAAGGCTTTGTGAACACCCTCACTCATGATGTCTAACTCATACATTTTTTCTTTCTAGATTATGTGGGTATATACTTTAACAGTATAAGCTCTTCGTAAAAGGTGCTAAGTATCACTTTGGCTGATAGATTGCTTTTAACATTTATAGGTGCAGTGAAATCTAAAACTACACAGAGAAAATCTGCAGTGGGTGGTGACCTTTCAGGGATGGTGTTGAAATCTGGTTCATGATTAAAGCAGGGTGTGGTTAAAAGGGGAAAGGATGGAAAATTCTCTTTTGGCAACTTGGTAGAGATGTGGGGTTAAACTGTCAAAACAGTCACAAAAATCTGTTGCCAGAAGAAAAAAATAAAAACTCTTAACAGCAGCTTTAAGCTGTGCCAGGCACGGTGTTCAGTGCTTTATGCTCAACTTTATTCGATTCTAAAAGCCATATAGATTTTATATTGCTATGCACGTTACAGATGAAGATGTGAAAGCAGAGAGTCTAAATAAATTTTCCACAGTGTCACACACACCCAGCGGTGAAGGCTAGGTTTGAACCTAGGTCTGTCAAGTCCTTGCCTCATGCTCTCGCCCTGTCAGTCATCACCGCTGCCACGCCTCTCATCCGTGTCGGTGCATAAACACTTCTCCACTCCCCTGCACGCCCTGGACTTTCTCCCTCCTGATGATTCTCATATCCACTGAAATCAACGCACAGGAAATACTGACTCATGACCATGGAAATATGTTCTATTTTTCCTGGAAACTTCCTTCTTCTCTGTCCCTCAATCTGGACCATCACAAAGAAAATAATTTTTCTCATTAAAGGAAAATAAAAAAAACCCACCATCTAATTTTTTAAAGCATAAGATCTTAATTTTCTTTTCTAACTCTGTCCAGGAAGTTTTTTTACAGCAGTCAAGCTTTTCAAAGCCTCCAAAACTCACAAAAGGTAGAAACCGGATCTGTCCTGGCTTAGCACACATCTTTAGCTGTGTCTGGAAATCAATGGCCTGTTGCTAAAAGTCTCCTGATACTGTCCCTGTGTGGGAGGGGTGGCCTTCTGAAAGAAGAGATTCACCCTCAGAGCTACTGCAGGGGAGTTAGTGCCGCTGGACCCTGGCTGAAGGGTGACAAATGCATGCGTTTGTGACGGTCTCAGACAGGACACTCAGCAGTCTCTTTTACTTCTAACATGAACACACGTTCTCAGCCGAGGCCAATACTGGTTAATAGTGAGGTGCTGAGAGAGAGTGAGTACCTTGGCCAAGCAGGATCAACTTCATTAAAATTTCATGTCGGTTAAGGTAGATCGACTTTTTCCTGTTACTTGTTACACTTTTAAAGCATCTTTAAACACTGGGATTTTTTCACATTAGAATGTGAGGGCATGGTTATCATTTATCAGTTAAAAATGTACAGCTCTTTCAAACATATCAAGTTCGAATGAGATGCAGACTCCCCGCTGCCGACCGCTCGGCCAGCATACTCAAGCTACTCATCTTTCCACTCTAGCATCGTCCTTCTTTCGGCCAAGAAGTATTTTCCCAAAGCTAGCATGTGCTTTGAACGTCAGACTTGTAGAAACAAACGTCTCTCAAACATCCAAGTATTCTGGAAGGAAGGTAAGAGGCAGCTTTTAAAAATCTGCAAATGAAGGTGGTGAGCAGAAATTTAGAGGAAGAACAGCTCCGACGCTGGGGAAGGCAGTCCAGGTTTACTCTGGCCAGCGGAAGCCTCC